AGACCACCTCCTAGTGCGAGTCTCTCAAACACATCAGCGTCCAAACTGTGAAACAACTGAACGAAATTATGACATCATACCGGGTCCTGTTCTACGTGCTCGGCAGCCCCGCAGAGCTCATCCAGTGGAACGTTCCGCTAATGTGTTCCATCTGCCCGTGCCGAGGATGAAAGGTAACAAAGTGGCCCATTGTTCCACGGCTTGGGCAACAAGTGCACTGCCCCTGGTCCCTCTCCCAGCTATGACTATGGGAACGTTCTTTGAGAAACATCAGCCACCACATCCACAGAGCCTGTGCCATTAAGCTTTAGTGCCAGTTTTAAAGAGCTTATATAGTGGATGGCGCCAGAACCTCTGGCTGATGTGAGAACACAGCGAGCAGGTTCCAAGACCAGCCCATGATTTTAAGTTGCATACCAGCTGGGTGCTCCGTAGTTTTCCAATCAGCATCCCTGGCCTCAGGCTGCAGCAATGGCATAGCTAGATTGAGGAAATCTTTGTTATAAGGCTTTGACATCCAATCCCACCCTTACAATGATTCCCAACATATGTTCCAGCCCTACGTTCCTGCATTTCCAGAAGTCTCTTAGTCTCTTCCTCATATTGTTCCAACCCTAAAGATATTCTGAAGAATGTTTCAACTGTTTTTGTCTGTATATGGGAATCAATGGGGTCCAAAACAACAACATTGGATCTTACTGACTTGCATTGTATGGACTTACATTGTATTTGTGTTCCACAGAAAAAGAATGTCATACAGGTTTATATAGAGTAGCTCTTGACTGTGCTGCGAAACGTCCTCTGAAGAGTTTGTGTTTATTTAGTTAACCAACATATTCATTATGGAACTGTAGGACATGGTAGGAATTATTTCAAAATAATTAAAATAATCATTTTATAAAATAAAAATATTTATATTACCCAAAATTCAGTTTTTGTGTCTACAGAGTTATATAGTAGTATTTTAAGAACATTATCCAGTACTTTAAATTATTATATTATTAAAAATAATTAGACAACTTAATGAAATTAGTTTAAATATATATATATTTACAAATAATTACAATTTAAAATAATCATTTTCAGTTTCCATTTTGGCCAATAATTTTTGAGTACATTTTCATTTTTGGGTGAACTATTCCTTTAACAGTAACTCAATATAATCTGAAGTAAGCTCTAGAAAGTTTTACAGTACATTCGCTTCTGGCAATTGTATAATGTATATACTTGTGCACTTAGAGCCACCAAAAACATATACACCCCCCCTTCCCAATCCTTTGGGACTGTGCCAGCCTACTGCACAACCCCATGACAGTCATTAACTTCACAAAACAACCCCTTTTCTATAATTGAGTACATTTTCATTTTTGGGTGAACTCAAGAAAGTTTTACAGTACATTCGCTTCTGGCAATTGTATAATGTATATACTTGTGCACTTAGAGCCACCAAAAACATATACACCCCACCTTCCCAATCCTTTGGGACTGTGCCAGCCTACTGCACAACCCCATGACAGTCATTAACTTCACAAAACAACCCCTTTTCTATAATTTACGCTTAAACAAACCAAAATAAGGTACTGGGAAGAGGTTGAGCAGGTGGTCTGGGAGGAAGTTCATCCAGCCCCTGCCCATTTTGTAACCCAGCACCCTGTTTAAGCAACACTCAGTCTTTTAAACAAAAGGCCTCACCCAGCAAAGATGCTACAGCTCTTGTTTGCAATGCCAAAGCCTGCCAGCCTGGAAGGCATCAGGCATGTTCTGACAGGCACACTGGTGCCCAGGAGAACAGCACTCTTCATATTAACAGTCCCGCACCTCCAGTATCCTCTCTGCCTCTGTTTCTAGGATATTGTGCAATTGCTTGGAATGCATGCAGCACCGCCAAGGGAATATAAGCCCTCCCCTTTCAGGAAGTGGAGAGGATGTTTCAGATACAAGTTTTATTTCTGCTGGATATTCTTGACTGAGGCAATCAAATAAAATGTTATACCCAAAAGGCCAAGTCAAATGCCGATTTTTTGATGCCCCAAATACAGCTCAAACACTTGCAAACCAGAGGCACGATTTTCTGTCATTCAGCTGTATCATACTGAATACATTACTTCTGGTCACATGTATTATTATTATGATTATAATGACGGAGGCAGTAAGTTACAGGTGATTGGGAAGGTTGTGTTAGCGTAGGCTGGATCCATGCCGCCAGTCTCAGAGCTTGTAATGTATAGATCAATGTGGCCGTAGGGGAAAGAGGATCAATGGCTGTTGAGTTATTGCAGTATTTGGCTACTGATTTTAGAGAGCTGTGTTTTCCCAGGAAAGTCAATACCCTTAGGCTCTTCACACTCATCTTGCCCTCCTTCCTCTAACCCAACACCTGGGGAGTCTTAACCCCCTGAGAGACAGAGAGAGACAAGGGCTGGTGGACTGAAGGACTTAATGATGCATGCAGGCAGAAAGGAGAACTAACAGAATAAGAGTGAAGATCTCTCCGAAGGGAGAGCAGCAGAGAACAGAGTAAATGTGAGAAAGCAACAGAGCCATAATAGTTATTAGGTACCAGCTGCAACACTGAAAGTGAGAATGGACTTAAATTTCTGCTAATTTAACAAGATGTCCTAACTAGTCCATGCCACACGTGAAATGCTTTCGGGAAATTTGGACAGAGCCAGTTTTTGACATTTCCCTGTAGTGCTAAGAATGGTAAAGCCACAGTCAGCAGGTGCAGAGCAGACTTGTTTGATATTCAGAACAGAACTGAGAAAGCCTTTTAATTTACAATTCAATAACAGAATTTCAGTTGAATTTGAACTGACGTAGCAAACAGGATGCAGAATTGGGATTCAAATGTGAATTTAAGGAAATACAATTAATATGAAGAGAAATTGAAATGAACTGCAATAAGTATCGTTTTTAAATCACGCAACATAAATATATATAATATAGAAATATATGCCTTTATATATGAAATTATAAAGCTGTACATTATTTAATTTATAGTTCATATTTTTATTTTAATATAAACAATATATAAGTAATAGTAAATATTTCAGTTCTTTTTAAAAATTGTAATTATAATTTTTTTTATTAAAATTGTATGGATTTATTTGAATTTCTATGAATTGAAAGTATATTCATTTTCCTGTCATTCCAATTCAAATTGCAATATAACATTCTGTAGTAGGGCATAATCAATTTAAATAAAAATTCCATGCAACAAAATTTTAACTGGTAAATTGAACTGAATTCTGAATTTCACTAAGCCACGGTGGAATATCTATCTAACAGCCCCAGAAGCTTCAGTTTAAAGACTGTGAGATCACTTCCTGTGATGGCAGTGTTAATGGCAGTGATATCGAAGACATGCTTTGAACACTGCTGCTCTGGCTTTCCACTCCAGTAAAGATAAGACGGTCAACCTACAATCAGTAGAATGGGCACATTGACCGTCTTTGATGCATTTCTGGGGTCCATTACTGCTAATGAAAGGCAGATAAAAGGAATATGATAAAAAAAGAATGTGTCTGCACAGAGATGCCAGTTTCCTTCGCCAATGTACGTATCCCCCTCCCAATCCCTACGGCCTGAACTCTTAATTTCTGATGACCTAAATGTATCTCTTTCAAAATATTCAAACTGGCTTGTGTTCATCTGGAAGTGTCTGACGATAAGAAGTGAGCTTTTTTCGAGCTGGAATGCAGTGTAAAGTTGAGCTCACTGGGGCTTATGGGATGTCTCTGGTGGGAAAGACATCACTGAGGTTAGATGCACTCTCATTCCTCTTCAGTTATACGCAGTCTGCCTATTCAGTATTTAAAAGCCTGCTTCATTTCACATTCATGAATATCACACATCTCTGGCACAGTAAATAAGTTGCTGGATGTACGTCAGTGAATCCACAAACTAAAATATGAATGCGTGAATCTAATTTGCAACCTAAAAAGAAAATGATTATGAGAAATAGAAAGATTTGGCATAGTCTCCAAACTGTATTCTTAAAGGAATTGCTATATATATTTTTTTAAGTATGTATATATGTCAATATTAATAAGTATATATTTAATAAAAAAATATATAAATATTTTTATACAATATTTCATAATAATAGTAAAAAAAAATTTTGTATTGCAATTTTTTATTATAAACAAATAAACTTAATTTTTTAGGAATTTATTCTCTTTGTCCTCTATCTTCTATGACCTTTCATTTATTTTTGTCTATGCGTTCTGATTCAGAGATATTCTACAAGGTCCTGTTTCATTCATCTTAACAATTTGCAACACGCTTTCTTCGCACTGAGAATATTCTTTTGAACTTTAGTTATTCACAATGCAGGATTCATAAAAGCGATGTGGCGTACAGCTGTCAGTCAAATCATCTTGTCTGTCCGAGCAGACATTAGCATTGCAAAGGAATGGTCGAAGGTAAGACAGGGTAGTCCTCTCCATTGTAAAGTTGTCTCTTTTTGTTGCTTACACGGCAAATGCATCTGAATGAGAGGTGCTTTGAACAAAGAACGTGGGAAATACACTGAGATAAAGCTGATGTATAACAGAAAGCCTGAACACAGGCCTCTTTTTCTTTCTCTTTTATGACCATCGCTGTGACATTTTCTTATCACACCAAACAGTCCTAGATCTGACCTTTCGCCTGCTTTGACTGGCATCTGGATTATTCTGATGGAATAATCGGTGTATGAAAAGCATCGATTTGACTAAATGATACTCGTCTTGCCCACTGGACACAAGAGAATGGACATCAACCAAAAGTACAGACAAGTTAGTCAGAAATGACTTGCTAACAGTATACCATCATGGGAAACCGTCTTTACGGACTGCAAATAATACAAGGCCCAATATTTTAAGCTAACAAAGGCAGGGCACTTGATAAAATGGACAAAGAAGACATGCAAAGATCGACCACCGAGAAAGATGACAGAAACATATTCTGATGCTGGAGATGGTGGTAAGGACTCCAGACAGTTGCAAAGTGTTGTATACCTGTGTAGACGAAGCGTCCCGGAGCTCCTTTGCAGAACTGCTTGGACTTATAGGAGAGTGTGACCTCCACGACCCCAGGGATGTGTCTAGGGGGTGTCTGCACCCGGATAGCATGAGGTGTGATGAGCTAGAAGCCATCAGAGCACACGTTCAGTGGTCAGCACTCAATACACAAGCACTGACTCCAATGTTAACACAGTTAATGCTGAAGCTAAAGAGTGATTCATTACTTAAAGGGCACAGTTACGGGTTTTAGCCATATACTGTAATAGGACCTGTTATGTTATGGTGTCTTGTTGTTTGTCTCTAAAACGGTCTCTCTTTTTTATTCTTCTTTGTAACATTAAACTGTAAACTAAAGAGCATTCAAGTTATTTAAGCACATTTGATTTATCCAATCCATAGATATGGCACTGTATTCTTTTGAAGAAATATTTTAAAGATAGTAAATAAATATTTAAACAATAATTATTTTAAATGTTTTTATTAAACTAAAATAATTTGGTTCTTTAAAAATAAAATAACATATAAAATAAAATAACATAAAATCACAAAAGGTTTGGCTCTTTTAAAGTAAAAGAGAATTTAAGTAAAAAATAATTTTCATTAAAACATTAAATAATAATAAATCTTTTAAAAATAAATAAATATTTAAACAATAATTATGTTAATATTACAAATGTACCTTGTATTAGTAAAATAATTTGGCTCTTTAAAATAAATAAATCTAATATTATAATATAAATAAAATATATATTATTATTAAAACTCTTACCTCACTCCAAACTAACATTGTGCCGAAGACCACTTGTAATCCGTCAAAGAAGTTGTCCCCAATGATGATGACGGTGGCCCCCCCAGTCGTCCATCCTTCACTGGGACTGATGGCCTTTATGCATGGAGTGGCTGCTTCGTAAAACAAGATCACAACACAAGCACTGAGTTAGAGCGGGTCAGTGTCAACGTTCATGCAACTTTTGGGAAACATCATCGTTAAACTAATTGCCATTTATCAGTGTTTTACTCTACTCTCCACATACCCTCAATGCAAATGAAAAAAAACTGAAAAACAGGAAGTCTGATGACTGTAAAAGCTCATTTGATTTTTTCTTTGGTGTCTGTGCATCACTCAGCTCAATAAAACCATTAAGTTTTTTTTAGCGTAAATCCGTCTTTGAGCAGGCGGTATGGAGACAGACAGGCTGACTGAAAGACTGGTCCAGTCTCCACTGGCAATGGATGGGAATTGATTGGTCGCCGCTTGGCGAGCTAACAGGCAAACCGAGGGGCTCTTGGTGCAACTTCAGACCACATTACTGCATGTAGTGCTGTATACCAGCAGCCACTTTCTTTGAACAGCATCATGGGAATGCAAATTTCACAAACTTTGTCTCGAAATCACTTCTGATTGGTTTTGAATGTTCTCTTTGTTGTGCAAGTGAACATCTCTGGAAACAGGGAATTTTGATACCTGTGAAAATGAATAGATGAAAGTAAACAACTGCTGGGTGTGATTTGCATTCACCTGTTGGGGTGTAATGGAACAGCTGTTCTCTTTTACAATATCTGCATGCGTATTCTAGTGTGTTCAAGATGAAAGCCTGCCCATCTCCCACATTGCACTGCCATTAGTGACTTCCTCTTCATGTTTTAGTCTTTGGAGAATTACAGAAGAGTCTTACGAAAAGTAGAGCAGCGACTTTCCTTTTCCTCGATTGGGACACAGGAGTGCCGGTGATTCCACAGTGACAGTTTTCACACAAAACAGTCACAGAGCTAATCACACAATTTCCCACATACAGGAACTGTTCTAAGTTCAGCTGGGAGGTGATGTTCTACGCAAACTTTCAGCATTTTATTTCAAAGTGACATTACCCAGTGCAGTCCCTTCAGACAGTCAGATTACCTGTACTCTAGGTGAGGAAGTAAAAAGTAGCACTAACAAGTTTGACTTTTTTCTTCACTATAATAAATGCGGTTTCAATGTCAAACTTATGCAATCGTTCAAAAGGCTGGGGTCAGTAAAATTTTTTGATGTTTTTGAAAGAAGTCAAGATGCTCACCAAAGCTGCAATTATTTAATCAAAAATACAGTAAAAACAGTAATACTGTAAAATATTATTACAATTCAAAATAACCATTTTCTATTTTAATATATTTTAAAATGTTTTTTTCTGTCATAGCAAAACTGAATTTTCAGCAGCCTTTACCTTTCAAAATATTGTACTAACCCCAAACTTTTGAACAGAAGTGTATATAAGGTACAGTATAATATGTGATGGATTTAACATGAATAACATCACAGAAAGCAAAATGTGTGTATTTTTGTGAAATTTACGCCTTACCTTCAGAAGGGTCCAGGCGTCGCGCCCTCCTCCCATGTTTGGAGTTGTTGTGGACAAACATGTTATCTGACACGGCCAGGACATGGCCATCCACGTTCACTGTGGTGGACACCACCACCTACGGAGACACCAAAATATCCTTACTCCCTGTTTCTGTGCATGTAAAACAAAATTTTTGTGTGTACATGTGCATTCTCACCTGAAATCGCCTCATGTCTCTGGGATTCCCTGCATTTTTCAAACAGTTCTGATTACACTTGAGAAAGAATTTCAGGAAAAATCTGTAAAAGAAAGACAGAAGCATTTTTAACTGACTCGAACACAATGGAAACACTCAAGGACAACAGCTTCCATATATAAACAGCCGCCAATGAGTGATTTAGCCCACTTTCAAAGCCGGCTCAGAGAAGACACTCTGTGTAGATCTATGATATGGAGTTAGAGTTGAGGTTTGATTTTTCTTCCTTTATATCGAAGACCAACTCTAGATTTGTTGATTTACTCTTATTTTTACCTCAGCCTGGCGCTATTGATCGGGAATGGATATCAATGAAGATGAGTCATAATAGCCTCCAATGCTAGAGGTGGGCTGCAGTACGAAATGGATTGCAGTCTTAATGCATTTCCCCTGGTTGGTAATCTCTATGCATTCATCTCCAGGACCATAAGCCCCACTATTTTGATGGAGTGCTTTGCTTTTAATTGCCACATTATCACAATAATAATCCGGGCAGTTAACAACCAGCAAGGTCGCAGACAGCCATGTCACATTAACCACAGGATAACCTCCGCCGCTGCTACCCCATAGAGCGCGCGGAGAGAATGATGCTGGGAGAAAAAACGGAGAGAGAAGCCTCGTCTGCTATATAAATGGCCGGCATCTGCAGATGCCATTGATTTCTCCCTAATAAGACAGTAACAATATCTTTAAAAACACACGGTGCTAACTCAAGCGATTTTTTAGAACCTCACTTTACCGCATGACATAATCACCATATATACTTTAACCCCATCAGCACTCTTACGGAGAGAGATAGGAAAGAGAGAAATCTGGCAAGAAAGACAGAGAGAAAGGGAGAAAGCCTGCTCTCTTTAGCTAGTATCGACTGATACTTGATCTGGGTTGCTCTGTTGGCTGCTAATGCCCTTTATGGCCATGGAATACAATAATATGGGGAACCCATCCCTGAGCTCCATTCATATGATATTGGAGTCCTTGGAAGGAGAGATATGGATCAATAAGGATTGAATTAAAACACAGCAGGAGACAAGGGCTGTAAGTGAAGCTCTTCTCAGATATTAGAGGAGTACTGTGTTTATACACCACCCCAGTCACCATCTGAAAGTAGAGAATCAAGCCTGAATTGTGGGCTGAAACCCGTCCCGCTTTGGCAGTTCTGGAATGGCAGAGCCTTCAGAGTGGCGAAACACAGGGAAGAGAGCGAGAGAGAGAGAGAGAGAGAGAGAAAGAGACGAGGGCGTGGAGGGGGAGAGAGAAGCACGTGATTGGAGAGTCTCGTAGGTCTAGACTTCTCCATCTGCCACTGGGCAGGAGTTGACAGGGAATGTGAGATTCCAGGTCTCATCCTGGAAAAGTGGCAGCACTTCAAAGCAGGTCGGCTCCCTTCGGACCGAGGCAGGACTAGCCCAGTGTTTGGAAGTGAGCGGGATGAGGGGGGAAGAGCTGCTTTTAGATGACAAGGGTTAGGGTGGAATGGAGATCTCAGACAGGAAAACGGGGGCGAGTGGAAAGACACAAGCAGGGCAGATTCTGAAACAGTCCAGTGTAACCAGCAGACTTTAAAGGAATATTCTGGGTTAAATGCAATTTACTCAACAGCAAGTTTGACCTGCTGTTCATAACCACATAAAATATTTAGACTAAAATCAAACAGAAATGCAAGTTTATGGGCCAGTTTTTCTATGCTCACCCTATAGATGTTGCAATTCTCAAATGTATTATACTGCAAAGCTTAAAGGGATAGTTCACCTTCATTTGCTGGTCCCCACTGACTTCCATAGTATGGAAAAAAACACTATGCAAGTCAATGGGGACCAGCAACTGAAGGTGAACAATCCCTTTAAAAATGTAGGTCTTTGTACTGTGTAATAAACAAAATTCAGTAAACATGTCAATTAAAAAATATTGACTATTACAATTATATATATACTATATATATATATATGTATAATGCATATAAGCATTATAGTGGCCATCAGGCTATAAAAAAAACTTCTCCTTGCTAATTAGCACAAAATGACAGAATAAAAGCAAAACTAATTTTTTTTTAATCATATATACAATAATCATATCATATCATTGTCACTTTCAGAAATACAGAGCGAACAATCCCTTTAAAAATGTAGGTCTTTGTACTGTGTAGTAAACAAAATTCAGTAAACATGTCAATTAAAAAATATTGACTATTACAATTATATATATACTATATATATATATGTATAATGCTTATAAGCATTATAGTGGCCATCAGGCTATAAAAAAAAACTTCTCCTTGCTAATTAGCACAAAATGACAGAATAAAAGCAAAACAAATTTTTTTTTAATCATATATACAATAATCATATCATATCATTGTCACTTTCAGAAATACAGAGCGTTTTCATTTCCAAGTGTGGATACATGTCATCCTGAAGTCCCCTCGAGGCCTTTGCAATGACTGATATTGTACCTGTGATAGAAAGACCCCAGTATGAAATGGACAGACAGCTATAGGAAAAGACAGAATGACAGAACAGGCAAAATTGAGGTGTGGACAGAGAGAGACAGAGAAGGGAAAGACTAACTCTCCCTCCCCATCTAAAACTTATTAAAACAACATAAATAATTAATAACCTTCTAGAGCCAGGGCTAGGTTATTAGTCTCAGTGTTTCTTTTTCTCCATCCTTCTCTCTGTCTCTCTCTCTTTCTGCTCTTAAAAAAGTGGGTAAAGATAATGAGGGAGTTGGCAACTCTGTTGTAAGCCGTCACCTCATTACGCTGGCCTGCAATCAATTACAGGGGGATGTGTGGCCCTGTCAGTCCCTAATGTGCCTCCAACTCCGAGTCAGGAATTACTGCTGGTCTACAGCACCCTCTCCACTTCTCTCTCTTCATCCCTCTGTCTCTAACTCGAGGGACTAGCAAGGAAGGGACTCTGGGGCCGAAAAGAGACCAGAACAGCTGGTCAAGTAGAAGCTGTGAAGGCCAGGTCTCTCACCTGTAGCTCTGATAAAAACCCTACGGCAGCCCCTCGTCTAGACCTGACCTTACCTGTGTGAGACCAAATGAGCATTTACAACTCTTCAATACATGCAAAAAGGGAGTTTGGGTTGTTTTATGGGTGATGCTGGTGAACAAATGGTATGTTTGGTATGTTTTAGTTCCTCTGATGGACAAAACCTGAGAGCTTGTGTATAAAAAAAGAGCAAAATGTAAAATCTGGGCAAAATTATTATGGAATTAGTAGTCCCAGAAGAAAATTGTTACTCTTTCAAAGCTCAGGACACCTAATGGGGTTTGACTGAAGTGTCAACTTTGTCTCTCCTAAAATTCCATCGGAGAAATAAAAATACATGATTAAATTGAAACAGTATGAGGTGTGAAATTGTTGTGGGTAGTACAGCTCAGATAATCTGGTCTCTGAAGCATTGATGAGTTCATATGGAGATTTCAAACTTTTTATTGCATACTTTGGTGTCTTAGCAAATCTGAGCACAGTTTGAGATACTGTTGAGATCTTTTCAGAAACACTAGAGGTGACACATGAGAGTTTACTAGTGCCACTGGAGAAAAATCTGATAAAGTGGAGATTACCATTCAATATTCTTGGTATATATTAAAAACTGCTATATTAAAAATATGTCATTATTTTGAAGAATGTATTAATTGTTTTAACCTGTAGTCATATAACCAATGTCATTTTGGACCCCACTGACTTTCATAATACAATATGGGCAAAAAAAACTATTATCTATTAAACTATTTTTCAAACTATTAAGCTATTTTTCTAAATATCTTCTTTTGTGTTCCGCAGAAGAAAGTCAAACAAGTTTGAAATGACAAGGAGATGAGTAAATGTTTTGGAGGTGCACTATCCCCTCAAAGAGCTTTTTCTCCATACTGACAAATATTTGGTATAAGATTTACTTTGAAACAGTTTTCACCCAGAAATTGCTAGTAACTTTCCCAATTACAAAGAAATGGCAAGTAACCCATTGAAGTAAACGTAAAATTACATATATACATATATAAACACATACACACAAAAGTCCTCATGTGATGTGTGAAAAAGAGCATCTCTTGTCTGCTCACCCATTATCTCACACACACATACACACGCATCCCTGGAGTCTCTCACTTATTATGTTAGGCAAGAAGAAGAAGAAGAAAAAAAAATCTATATTTCAGCAGAGGTATTTTTAAAAGCTGCCATGGCTCCAATTCTCGGCCACTGTTTGCTGCGAGTGCTCGTTGCTTTCTATGAAAAAGATGCTCTTTCTTTGGGATGCTTAAGCTGGATGCCGATCGCTCTCATGGGCTCTGCATTAGATTAGCATGCTGCTTTCTGTCCCGTTCACAGGTCTCTCAACACACTGACTGATATCCATTTATCTCACTGTATCGGAAAAGGTAGAATCAAAGCACAACCATTTGACTGCATTTGCTCTTTCTAGCCATCTGAACGGCCTGGTTATAGCTAACGGTGTGTGTAATTATTTTTAAAGCTATATAATAGAATTTCTGGCAATAATTTAGTGCAGTCCAAGAATTTCTTTTTTGTATAATAGCGAAAAGAATATTCCGGAAGCGAACCAGAGGTTATAATATAATTTTACCGACTTTGTCCTGAATTCAGAATCATTTTAGTTAATGAGGACAGGATTATATTAACAATAAAGGTGTACAAAAAAGGCAAGGTGTGGATATGTGCATAAGAGAGAGAGAGAGAGACTGGGGCCCTCCTTTGCTCTCCTACACGTCATCAATTATTCACTAGCCAAGATGGCAATTACAGGACCGTGTACAATCAGACTAAATATTTAATAAGGCACTCAAACAGTCTCTAGAACGGATCTTTGTCTCTCTCTCTTCAGTCTCATCCTTTACACTGTATCTACCGTCCGCTCCCCTGGCCTCTTACCTTTGTTATGAGTACAAAAACAGTTTATACAGCTCACAGACTCCTGCACATATTAAAGATGAGCGTCTCTAGTGCACTTCATTTGAATGAAGTCAAGTCACCTTTATTTATATAGAGCTTTATACAATACTGATTGCGT